GTTAGCAGCTATCTTTGACTGGTTTCTCATGAAAGTGGCATCTCCAAAATCTTGGGGCCTTCAGGGCAGTCCAGGTTTCACTTTTACAGCTTCATGAAATAGCTTCTTTGAACCTTCTGCAGGGAAACCTACGATACTAGACTGGCCTCAGACATTTTCCTTAGTAGCAAGGAGGATTCCATAATTCATTTCTTCTATCCTTGGCTCTAAAGCCAGAATCACATGGCTGAATCTGCCAAGTTCTGAGCTTGAACATGGCTCCTCATTCAGTTACATCTTCAACTTTTTGTTCATGTTTCCTTCACTGCTTAAACTTGTCATTCCCGGAACTTGCTCTGTAGAGCTGGCTGACCTCAGACTTAGAGATCTGTTTGCCTCTGTCTCCATGTGCTGGCATTAAAGGCATGTGCCACCACACCTGGCTCTAAGCTTTCACAAATTGGAAGCTTATTTGGGTGGGGTCTTGCCCTGAGGTCTCCATTTCCTTTATTCTATTTCATGATCTGTTTATCTCCTTGAACACAGGACTTAGCTCCATTCCATTTCTTGGTGTCTCCATTCTCCTCAGTCTGTGGATTTTGTATTTTTACTTCCTTAGCTTGCCCATTTTCATTACAAATCTTCTTAAGAGTCAACACAAATGACAACATGGCAGAGTCTATACAAGGCTGTTTTGAGATTTCCTTTGCCAGTGTAAGTAATCCAAAATTCTTCATTTAGCCTCAGGCAGACATTTTGGACAATAGCAAAAAGCAGCCACATTCTTCACCAGAATATCACAAGAATGATCTCTAGATAACATACTGAAATTCTTCTTCTCTGATACCTTTTGAGCCAGGCCCCCACAGTTCAAATCGTCCTCAAGACTACTGTCTTCCATACTCCTTTAGTGTGGCCTGTTAGCGTCTCGTTGTTTTCCTAACTCAAAGTACCAAAGTCTGTATTACTACAAAGAAAAGCATGGTCAGGCTTTCACAGCAATTCCCCACTCCTGGTACCAACTTCTGTCTTAGTTAGGGTTTCTGTTGCTGTGAAGAGACACCATGACCACAGCAACTCTTATAAAAGGAAATATCTAACTGGGCATGGCTTACTGTTTCAGAGGTAAAGTCTATTATCATCATGGCGTGACTTGGCAGTGTGCAGGCAGAATTGATTCGGGAGAAGGAACTGATGTTTTTACATCTTGATCTGCAGGCAACAGAAGATTGTCACACTGAGTATGGCTTGAGCATGCATGATAACTCAAACCTGCCTCGAGAGTGTCACACTTCCTTCAACAAGGCCACACTTCCTAATGGTGCCAATCACTATAGGCTGTGCATTCAGAAACACTTATAGGGACCACACACCTATTCAAACCACCACAGAGTGTTAGCAGAGATTCTTCTGCCCTTCACAGTTCCCTCAAAAATTGGCTTATTTGACACTGTGTGACTTTCCTAGGGAGATGTGAACAAACATATTCAGATCAGATATGTGAAAGGTGATAGACCAAACAAAAAACCCCAACTGAGTCTGTCTTGGTAGATCGATGATTTATTGAAATCACTTACAGGAACATGGAGAGGATTTTAAATTCACAGGGTCTTGGGTGACTCAAAGGTAACTGAATTACCCCAAATCCCACCCTACTATGAGGGACAACTCATTAAACTGGCAACCTTAGCACTCACTACCAGCCTTGAAGGCAATATTTGCTTCTATAATCATTTGAATCTGACACCTTTCTGAACTTATGATTCTTGATTCTCCCTCCAGGGAAGGACACTTCAGTACAGAGGAAATAGTTCCACAACCCTTGAAAATATACTCAACGAGAAACACCTGGAGAAAGACAGACTAGAGAGAATGTACAATATTGGAAGGTGGATTTGATGGAACAGAGTAGCAAAGATACATACATGGGAGAGAGACAGAGATACAGAGTGACAGAGATAGAGAGACAGAGAGATTCATACTACTTGTATTGATGAGCAGAATAGAAAAGAAGGTGTATCATCTAAATTTATGCAAATGAGCACCAAAATACACCATTGGATAACTGGGTACTCTACAAGTACTTCTCAAATCTTGTCTTCTCCCTCACCTCCTAGAAAAAAAAATATGTGTTTGTGTAAGAGGCTGGCCCGATGTGAGCCCTCATTCTTGATCACTACACTGCAGAACTTGTCCTTGGGCTGCCCAAGTCACAGAAATCTGGACCCACACCAAAGCTGACTGGATTGGGAAGTTGCCCCATGTCCAGGAGCTCTGCCTCTTGCCTGTGGTATACAGGAAGAGGGCATCCGATCACCTTGGGATCTTTAGCTCAGTTCCCAGTCCTTTAGTGGATGGATCTCTGGGTCTTCTAGTCTCCCAACTATAAAATTATTTTCATTGTTATTCAAAACTGTCATTTTGCTGTATTTATGAATTGTAAATATCTGTGTTTTCTGGTGGTCTTAGGCAACCCTTGTGTTAGAGGTTGTGACCCACAGGTTGAGAACTGCTGACCTAGATGGTCTTCACAGTTGACCAAGGAGAAACTCTTGTGGTTTCAGGGTTGAGAGAATACCTTTGGGAATTAATGTGAATTTTAACTCTATGATGAGGAAAACTGAGACCAACGTTAGAGGAGTGTGTACAACGGGGACGTGAGGGCAAGATCAGTCATGCCAGCTCCCTCTTTACCATTCACATCCCACAACCTCCCTCTCCTTCCTCAAGTGAGAGGGCTTGTTCTTTCCCAACCTATTTGTCATGTACCTCCAAAGTATCTTCATTAAGTCTCTGATCCTAGTTCTTTGAAAAGCCTTAGCTTAAAATCAAGTTCTACCACTTCTCAACCACACTGCCATGTGCTCCTTTCTGCACTTGTTGGAGAAAGGACTCAAATAAAAAGGTCTCACTGTGTAGGTCTGAGTGGTCTAGAACTTGGTATGTAGATCATTTTGGCTACTCAATCCCAAGAGGGGCCACAGACTATATCTCTAGGAGGCTGTGATTACAGAAACATTGTTTTGTAATTTCATGAAGAATCTCTTTACCTCCAATGAGTCAGCCCAAATTTGCCCTTTCTCAGAAACCCAGCGCCACTGGTGTATCATTTCTATGTTCATGGATGGACTTATTTGGAAAATTGAGTATAAATGCAATCCCTTGACCCCTATGCTTGCTGATTTTTTCACTTAACATAAGGTTCTCAGGGGTCATCTTCATTGCAGCATGTGTCAACAATGCATTCCTTTATAATAGCTGAATGATAATCCAATGTTCCCCACATTTTGTTGATATGTTTTCCCAGTGGGGACATGCATGCACACTTACACACACACACACACACACACACACACACACACACACACACACACACAGTCTCAGTATGCAGCCCAGGGTGTTCTTGACTTCCTAATCTACCCACCTCATTCCCCAAGTAGCTGGATTTATACATCACAAAGTCTGGTGGGTTGTATCCATTTTTGATTCTGTTGGGTGTGGGTCTTTCAGCTGATTTCTTCTTGCTGTGTCCCTGTGTGGGTTGCTTTTATGTGAACTTGATACAAGCTAGAGTAATTTGGGCACAGGGAGGTTCAATTGAGAAAATGCCCCCATAACCACAGGACCCCTCCCCCACTCCATATTCTGAAATTGTATATTCAACACCTGGGAAGGGTGATGGAATCACCTGGGCTTCAGTGGTCTGGGACAGCCCTGTCTCTCCAGCTCTGTCACCTCAGCATCAGGACTATTTTCTTGGGTTGACTGCCTGCTCTTCCAAAGGTCCTGTGTTCAATTCTCAGCAACTACATGGTGGCTCACAACCATCTGTAATGAGATCTGGTGCCCTCTTGAGGAAGAGACCTGGTCAGTCATCCTCATCAGCTTAGACCATGAAACGTATTATGAACAAGTTCAACAGAACTGCCATATACGGGTTGCTCATGCATGCTTCAGCATTGCAGGGCATACATTTCAATTTCATTTTCATTTTCCTCAGTGGACATTCTGTGATTCCAACATCTCCAGCATTTTAGGGGTCTCTATTTCAACTTAGGCTTCACCTCCCCTGCTTCATGTAGTAGCTTATGAGGCAAGGACTCATAAAGGGAATTCAACCATACCAGTTGGTGCTGGACCTCAGCAGTTTTCTGGAACTTTGGTGGAAGCCTCCAGGATTCCATGACTCTTGCGTCTTTCATGCCTGCCAAACCAGTGCCACATGATGCTGCGGCCAAGTTCTAATGCTAGATTAGTCATAGCCTTGCTCCCCGGACCACAGGGTTCTGTGGCCTGAAGAACTGTTGGTCACTGCTTTCTGACCCTGGGGTAACACTTACTAGGTGACATTTTTGTTTTAGAAAGGAACCTTGCATTTCATAAACCCGAGCTACAGTGGGTGAAGTCTTGCCCTCAGGGCAGCTTTTCTATTGCCCCAGTGTTGAGCACCATTAATCCCAAAGATGGGAGGAGAAAGACCACTGACCAAATCATCATGGCCAAATGAATTAAAGCAAGCTTTTTTATTCATGTACACAGGCTGCTTCTCCCTAATGCAGGGTTCAAGATATCAGCATTAGACCTGAGAGACAAGGCTTTTTACAGAACTCAGGGATGGAGGGAAAATAGGCAGGGTTATAGGAGTAGAACATAACAGGTGGTCTTAATAAGTTCATCACGAGGGTCTTATAACCTTTTGAAACAAAGGTAGGTTGCAAGGCCGTTATAAAACAGTTTGAAACAAATAAACGATTGGTATTCCAGGAACAGGGAGTACAGAATCATTTGTAGTTAAAGTTGCAGGTGAGGTATGGTTGAATCCTTGAGAAACAGAGGTTTAAGCATAATCAGGAATGAAGCTAGTTTGTATTTGCTATGAGATGCCTTGTAAGCCTAAGATGGAGGCAGACTGGTTCTTCACACAAGTTTGTCCTCAATGCTGGTGATTTCCTTAACGAGTATAGCTGCCTCCTCTGAACCCACATAGTCTGCAACTTCAAACTCTCTCATGCTTCTTTTAGTTTTCTTCTGGAAAATTGCACTTCCCCTGTCTTCCTGTTCCACTTTGCTCCTTATTACCGTGGACTTGAATCAGAGCGGTAGGCGGTAACCATGTCACTGCTCTACTGCTTCACCAAATAAATGAGTCCCGTCTTTTCTCTTTCTTAACATAATTCTTTTTTATTGATCCCTTGGGAATTTCACACCATGCCCCCCAAGCCCATTCATTTCCCAGTCCTTTCATGTCTACTCGCCATCCTTGTAGCCTCCCCACTCCCCAAAATGAAGAAAAACATTTCACTTTTCCATCTTTCTGTCTTCTCCATCACATATTCATTTGTCCTCATGGCCTTGAGAGCTGCAGTGTGTCTCGCAGGATACCGCACAGCTTTACTTGTGAATGTTCATTGCAATGAGTTGTTGGTCTGGTTTAAGGCCTCTGACTTCTGGTACACCATCAATAATGAACCCTCACTGAAACCTCTCTGATATCCTGCTAGTGCCTCAAGCCATGGAGGCCTTGCATGTATGGTTCCATGGGATTATACTCTTCATGTGCTCCAGCAGGTCATACATGGGGTAGACATTGGGGTACGCCAACTCAGAGCCCAGATGTGGGTCAGGGTAGTTGAGTTGGTCAGCTTGGACCTCCACTGGGACCGACCCCTTTAGCCGAGGGTCAGGGCCAGCTCTCCCGCACGTATAGTGAGGGGTGAGAGCAGCTCTACTGAGTGTGGGATGGGCTCTCCCGTTGTGGAGGCAGGGAAGGGGAGGGACATATCTCCTAGCGTCATGGATGGTCAGGACCAACTCTTCAGTGCCCACACCATTTGACCCAGTTTTTCCGAGGAGTGCCTCTTCTAATGGTTTGGCCTGCAAGAGGCAGAACCAGTTCTCTGGTAGCCAAGTCACCAGGATCTTCCATAACCCTTGCTGGTAACACGGGCCACAAACATCGACACTGACTCTGTCACAGGATGCAGACCCAGACATGGCCCTCAGTCTAGAGTCCATTCTTTTTTTGTCATTATATTGCATTTAGTAAGTATGATATCGTATCTGTAAAAAGAAACATGTTTTACTTCTGGAGTCCATTCTTTTAGAATTCAGCTTCACTCAAGTTCTCAGGGCACAAAGCACAAACCAGATTTCTCTAGACTATTTGAATAGCTTTTAGCCTTGCTCTCTTAAGGCTCCCACTATTGTTTCCCTTTCTTTTACTATTCTGGTTTTCCAAAGTCCCACCAGAGCACCCAAATACAGGCCACTTTTGGGCTTCTTTATAATTTCATGTTCTTTCCATAAATCATCTCCAAAGGCCCAAGAACCGTATGGTTAGGTGTATCACAGTGACAACAAAGAATACAAATTTTCAGGAGGAATGGCTGGTCCACTGCTGTGACAAAGGGCCTGACAAGGGTCAACAGGAAGAGAAAGGGATGTTTTGAAGGTACCATCTATGATGACACGGAAGGTGTTGGGACAGGAGTGTGTCAGAGGTTACACTGTATGTCACACTGTATTCCTGGTCTTGAGCCAGAGGTAGATGTGTACTTGTGTTCAACATGTAGTCTTCTCTCTATTTTGATTGGGAACCACAAAAGGATGGTACCCATAGACAGGGTAGGGATTCCCTATCAATTAAAAATCTGTAGTTCTCTTAAGAAGGCACCCCCAGGGGTATGGTTAATATGATCCCAAATCTAGTTGAGGTGAACCAACATAGCCCAGTGGATTCTCACAGTTGCAGGGACTAAGTGGTATTCCCAATACTCTCTCTGAGTCTCTGAGTCTCTGGCCTTAATTTACTCTTTTCTTCTTCTCCCAGACTCAAGGCTTCTTTCTTTTTTCTGTTTCTCTCTATATCTCTGTGTCACCCATCTCTGTGATTAATCTCTTTGTCCCTCCTGCTCCCTCTATACATCATCTCTCTTTCTCCTGCATGGAGATGGAACCTAGGACCTGCTTGTAAAGTATCCTAACCCTAAGGCACATCCAGGATCATTCATCCATGACTGTCAGAGGCCAGGCAAGAGCTCTACCATTATGGTACATCACCAGCCCTTTAGAAAATTTTAATTTGGAGATAGGGTCTTGCTAAGTTACCCAGGCAAGGACTGATGCTTAATCTCAGCCTCCCAATTGCTGAAATGAGAAGCATGGGCCTATCCTTGGATCTCTCTCTCTTTTAAAAACAAGACTTCACATCTCTTTACTAGAGAGAGAA